ATTAGGGACAAAGACAATTGACCAGAAGAGCTTAGAATAGCAGCTAAGGATGCCTGGGGGTCTGCCAGTTCATGGCTGGACTCAAGCAACTGTGAGCATGGTTGGGGGGGGGGGGGGTGGAAATCGGAAGGCTCCATTTGCAGTGGACTCAGGAGAGGGGGGACTTGCCTACAGGAGACTCCGTGGGTGGCTGGAGGCCAGGCTCTCCAGAAGGTTGGTCCAGGCCTGAAACAAGGACAAAGAGATTGCAAATGAATATCAAGAATTTGTAGCCTAGCACTGGTAGCTCACACCTGTAATCTTAGCTTCTTAGGAGGCTGAGATCTGAGGATCGTGATTCAAAGCCAGCCTAGACAGAAAAGTCAGAGAGATTCTTTATCTCCAATAAACCACCAGAAACTGAAAGTGAAGATTTCAGTGGCTCAAAGTGGTAGAGCGCTAGCCTTGAGCTAAAGAGCATAGGACAAGCTGGGCTCTGGTGGCTCACACCTGTAACCCTAGCTACTCAGGAGGCTGAGAGCTGAGGATTACAGTTCAAAGTCAGTCCAGGCAGGAAAGTTAGTGAGACTTTTTTTTTTCAGTTCAAAACTAATTACATGATGGATATGTATATATATATATATATATATATACATATATATATATATATATTAGTGAGACTCTTATCTCCAATAAACCACCAGAAAACTGGAAGTGGCGCTGTGACTCAAGTGGTAGAGTGCTAGCCTTGAGCTGAAGAGCTGAAGGACAGCACTCAGGCCCAGAGTTCAAGCCCCATTACCAACAAAAAAAAAGCTCAGGACAGCACCCAGGTTGTGAGTTCTAGCTCCACAATGACCACCACCACCAAGAAATAATTTGTAGGTACTATCATACAATTGTTTCATCTGTATATTATGTTTTTTGTTGTTTTTTTTTGGGGGGGGGTCCGGTCGTGGGGCCTGGGCGCTGTCCCTCAGCTCTTCAGTTCAAGGCTAGCGCTCTACCACTTGAGCCACAGCACCACTTCCAGCTTTTTTCTTTTTGCTTATGTGGTGCTGAGGAATCGAACCCAGGGCCTCAGGCATGCAAGGCAAGCGCTCTACCACTGAGCCACCTTCCCAGCCCTATATTATATTTTGTAATGATAGTCCCGTGGCTTGAACTCAGGGCCTGGGTGCTCTCCCTGAGCTGCTTTTTCTTTTGCTCCAGACTGGCTGGCACTCCACCACTTGAACCATAGCTCCACTTCTGGCTTTTTTGGTGGTTCATTGAAGATAAGAGTCTCACAGACTTTCCTGCCCAGGCTGGCTTTGAACTACCATCCTCAGACCTCAGCCTCCTGAGCAGCTAGGATAACAGATGTGAGCCTCCAGTGGGTGGCTCTGCTTCCCTCTCCCACTTGCTCAAGGTCATCCTCGCCCACCTGGGGTGGTGATAGACAGCTGGATGCCTTTGTCTGCGAGCCCACTGTCGCCCAGGGCATTGCTGGCCAACAGCCAGACCCTGTATCGAGTAGAAGGCTGCAGTCCAGACAGGGTAAAGGAGGTGGCCTGGGGTGGCAGGACATCCACGTAGAGAAATCCTGGAGTCTCCAGGGCCTCATACCTGCAGGAGACAGAAGTGGCGCTGTGACTCAGGTGGTAGAGCACTAGCCTTGAGCTAAGGAAGCTCAGGGACAGCACCCAGGCCCTGAGTTCAAGCCTTAAGACTGGCTCACACACACCCAAAAGAAGTTCTGGGGTTAGAGGCATGGCTCTATTGGTAGAATACTAGCTAATGCTGTTTTTTTGTTTTGTTTTATTTTGTTTTTTAAATTATAAGAGTGAAATACAGTTACATAAGTAAAGTAATGAGTACATTTCTTTTCTTTTTGGCCAGTCCTGAGGCTTGAACTCAGGGCCTGGGCACTGTCTCTGAGCTTCTTTTGCTCAAGGCTAGCACTCTACCACTTACTTGAGCCACAGCGCCACTTCTGGCTTTTTTTGTGTATGTGGTACTGAGGAATCGATGTCCCTGAGCTCTTCAGCTCAAGGCTAGCGCTCTACCACTGGAGCCACAGTGTCACTTCCAGTTTTCTGGTGGTTTATTGGAGATAAGAGCCTCAAGGACTTTCCTGCCCAGGCTGGCTTTGAACCGAGATCCTCAGATCTCAGCCTCCTGAGTAGCTAGGATTACAAGCATGAGCCGATGGTGCCCGGCCCAACCTAGTGTCTTGGGAGTAATGTCGTTACATTGGTTCACCCTTTGTCCTTTGTCTCACCATTTTGTGATTTCTCCTTCCCTTCCCTAAATCAGATAAACACACACACACACACACACACACAGGCAAGACACAGTGACAACAGGGGATAAACCAAGGGTGGGGTGAAGGGGGGAAATGAATAATAAAAAAAAGAACTTCACACAGTATATTAAAAAACAAAAACAAAGAAACCAAAGAAAAGCCTCTCGCTTCCATATCTTGGAGTTCATTTCAATTAACATCATTTTATATGGTCATATGTACATAGCTATTGAGCCACTGGGATCCTCTGCTGAGACTATGTTAGACATATACAAATTATTGCAAATGGGGGATACCATGGAGCCTATGTTTCTATGAGTTTGAGTCCCAGTCACTGACCAAATTAAAAAAAAAAAAAAAGAAAGAAAAAAGACAGTGATGTGGCGCATCCACTGTCTTGCTTAGACAGCAACCTACCTGATTTGGAATCTCTGGGGCAATCCCCCATCGAAGCCAGGCTTCCATTCCAGCCCCACTGAGTGGGGGGTCAGGCTCACCACCTTCAGTCCCAGAGGGGGGTCAGGGCGGCCTTGAGAAAGAAAGAAGATTCTAGCCTGACACTGGTGGCTCACACCTGTAATCCTAGCTACTCAGGAGGCTGAGATCTGAGGATCTTGGTTCAAATCCAGCCTGGGCAGGAAAAGCTATGAGACTCTTATCTCCAATAAACCACCAGAAAACCAGAAGTGACGCGGTAGCTCAAGTGGTAGAATGCTAGCCTTGAGCTGAAGAGCTGAGGGACAGCGCTCAGGCCCAGAGTTCAAGCCCCATGACTGACAAAAAATAAAAATGTCCAGCTCAATTGTGAGACTATTTTTCCACAGGAAGTTGTCATTGTTATCACTTGAATTCAAATAGGTACCCAGTGGCCCACATCTGCCATCCTAGCTCCTTAGGAGGCTGAGATCTGATGACTGAGTTTTTTTTTTTTTTTGGGGGGGGGGGTCTGGTTGTGGGGCCTGAACTCTGGGCCTGGGCGCTGTCCCTCAGCTCTTCAGTTCAAGGCTAGCACTCTACCACTTGAGCCACAGTGCCACTTCCGGCTTTTTTCCTTTTGCTTATGTGGTGCTGAGGAATCGAACCCAGGGCCTCAGGCATGCAAGGCAAGCGCTTCTACCACCGAGCCAACTTCCCAGCCCTGATGACTGAGTTTTGAAGCCAGCCCAGGTAAAAAAGTCATGAGACTCTTATCTCCAATGAACTAGCAGAGACATAAATAGAGTTGTGGCTCAACTTTAACAAAAAGCTAAGCAAGAGCCTGAGGCCCTGAGTTCAAGCCCCAGTACTGGCACAAATGCATGATATACTATGTATGATATACTATGATATACTATATACAAACTGGTACAACTGTGTATGTGTGTGTGTGTGTGTGTGTGTATATATATATACACACACACACACACATACATATAACATATATATATATATATATATATGGAAAATAGAGAAAGAATAAACTCCATAAGATTTTGTTACAACTGTCAATTTAACAACCAAATAAATACTCAAGTTCAGAGTCTATTGAGTCATACAAAAAAACACTAATTTTTTTTTTTCAGTCATGGGGCTTGAACTCTGGGCCTGAGCACTGTCCCTCAGCACTTCAGCTCAAGACTAGTGCTCTACCACTTGAGCCACAGAGCCACTTCTGGTTTTTTGGTGGTTTATCAGAGATAAAGTTTCATGGCTTTTCCTGCAGGCTGGCTTGGAACCGCGATCCTCAAATCTCAGCCTCCTAAATAACTAGGATGACAGGCATGAGCTACCAGTGCCTGGCTTACTAAGTTGTTTTTGCATCCTAAGAAATGTCTCTGCCTGGTGCTGTTGGCTCACATCTGTCATTCTAGCTACTCAGGAGGCTGAGATCTGAGGATTATAGGTCAAAGCCAGCCCAAGCAGGAAAGTCTGTGAGACTCTTACCTCCAATTAATCACCAGAAATGAAGCTGTGGCTCGAAATGGTAGAGCACCAGCCTTAAGCGAAAAGAGCTCAGGTATAGCACCTAGGCCCTGAGTTCAAGCCCCATGACCACCACCAACAACAACAAAAAGAAATATCTCCATATATTGGTTCTTCTTGGGATATATATTTTTTTTTTTTTGGTGCCAGTCTTGGGGCTTGAACTCTGGGCCTGAGTGCTATCCTTAAATATTTTTTCCTCAAGACTAGTGCTCTATCTTTTGAGCTGAGCTCCACTTCTGGCTTTTTTGGTGATTCGTTGGAGGTAAAAGTCTCATGGACTTTCCTGCCCCAGATTGGCTTCCAATTGTGATCCTCAGATCTCAGCCTCCTATGTGGCTAGGATGACAGGTGTGAACCACTTATGCTGTCTTTGCTGTGGAGTTCCCTGAAGATGCAATCTCCCATGAGGATTTTCAGGATAAAAATGCCATTCCCAGTCACCCATACGTCTCAGGTTTCAGGACCACTGCTGGACAAGGGCAAGCGGGGACCTCCATGGTGACAGACTGGAGGGCACTCCCAGCTCCCTCTCCTCCTGCCATACCAATGCTGACGAGTTGAATGTTGGTGTGGTCTGAGCCAAGGGGGTTGGTTGCTGTGCACGTGAAGAGGGCATAGTCTTGGGCGGCAGACACGTTAGCGATGGTCAGGAGACTGCTGTGAATGCTCCCCTGGTGGTACGTGTGTTCCGTGAATCTGGAGAGATGCAGGTCAGGGATCAGGGAAGGGATCAGAGGCAGGGGGTGGGAGGGGTGGGGAGGAATAAGAGTTGAGGCCTGGCTGCTTCTGGGTTCACCTGGGGTCCTGGAGATCGAGTGGAACTCCATTTTTGGCCCAAGTGAAGATGACGTTGGGGACGCCTCGGGCACGGCAGTGCAGGGTGGCAGAGCTGGTACTGTCTCCAGCTGCCGCCACCTTAGATAAGGGAGTGGGGTGCTCCACCTGGGGGGCGACTAGGGTGGGTTGAGTGGGGGATCAACCAGAGGTATGTGGGAAGATTTAAGAGTTGTAGAGTTAGGGCTGGGAATGTGGCTTAAGGGTACAGTGCTTGTCTAGCATGCATGAAGCCCTGGGTTCGATTCCTCAGTACCATATACACAGAAAAAGCCAGAAGTGGTGGCTCAAGTGGTAGAGCGCTAGCCTTAAGCAAAAGTAGCTCAGGGACAGTGCCAAGGCCCCAAGTTCAAGCCCCAGGACTAGCCAAAATTAAAAAAAAAAAAAGGTAGACTCAGTGGTGGGCTTTCTACTCAGACTCCTCCTCCTACCTTTGTCCCTCCATCCATTTATCCTTCCATCCATCCATCCATCCATCCATGCATTGACCCATCCATTATTCTCTGTACCCACTAATCCACTGTTGTGGCTCTCTATCCATTCACTCTTCCGTTCATACATAACATCCACTCGTAAGTACATGCATTTGTTTGGGTGTTACCCACATCGGACCACCAGACGGATTACTCCACGTGCTGGAGGTACCACCCCATTGTCCACGATGCACTGGTAAGCGCCAGCCTGGTCCAGTTTGGCATGGTGGATCCTCAGACGCCCTGTGGATCCTTTTGATATCTTCTCCATATCATCCAAGCTCTTGTCCTCCTCCTCCTCTTCCCCCTAGTGGACCAAGATGCAAGATTTGGCCCCAAGTTTGGCTCTAGACCTATTGTTCCCCAAACTGTGCTTCATCTGTTGCCTAATTTTCCCAGCCACAATCACCCTAGCATAGCTACTGAAGATCAAATGTCTCCTGCCATTCATCCAACCATTTATCCAATTCCTCCATTCCTCCACCAAGCCAGCCAACTACTCTTCTGCACATCTGTCTGTTCCCCACTCCCCTCCACCATTCATTCAACCATGTATGGCTGAGGGCATGGCTCAGTGATGGAATGTTCGCCTACCATGCAAAAGCTCTGGGTTCAATCTCAGCACGAAAGAAAGAAAGAAAGAAAGAAAGAAAGAAAGAAAGAAAGAAAGAAAGAAAGAAAGAAAGAAAGAAAGGAAGGAAGGAAAGAAGGAAGGAAAGAAAGAAGGAAAGAAAGAAAGAAAGAAGGAAAGAAAGAAGGAAAGAAGGAAAGAAAGGAAAGAGGGAGGGAGAGAAGAAGGGAGGGAAGGAAGGAAGAAGGAAAGAAAGAAGGAAGGAAGGAAGGATGGAAGGAAAGAAGGGAAGGAGGGAGGGAAAGAAGGCCACTGGACGTCCTTGGCTCAAGCCTGTAATCCCAGTTACTCAAGAGGCTGAGATCTGAGGATCAAGGTTCAAAGCCAGCCTGGGCAGGAAAGCCTGGGAGACTCTTATTTCCAATTAACTACCAGAAAGCTGAAGGTGGTACTGTGGCTTAAGTAGTAGAGTGCTAACCTTGAGCAAAAAAGCTCAGGGACAGTGACCAGGTCCTGAGTTCAGGTCCCTCGGTGGGCACACACACACACACACACACACACACACACACACACACACACACACACACACACAATGGAGGTGTGGTTCAAGTGGTAGAACACCAGCCTTGAGGGAAAAAGCCAAGCCAGAGCTCCAGTTCAAGTCTCACTACCAGCACTTAAAAATAGGATCTTGAGTTTAAGTTGAACACAGACTACATAGCAAGTTCCAAGCCAGCCTAGACTACACAAAAGATATGATTTTCAATCCATTCATCCAATTTATCTTTTCATCCATCCATTCATTCACCCACACATTTATACCTTCCATTCACCTTGTCTATCCCCACACAAACTCATAATTACATGCAATCTATTCAGCCATTTATCCCTGTGTTCATTTATCTGTCCCTCCCTCTCGCCATTCATCTATCTATCCGTAGACTTACTGAATATTCATCCACCCACCTGTCCTTCCATTTACCTACCTATTTTTCCATCTCCACCCTCTCACCTGTCTATCCACTCATCCACCCAATTCATCCACCTTTCAGCAAACAGTTCCAGCATGCCCAAGTATATAATTATACAGAATCACATCGGCGTGCCTTCATTCCCAAAGAGTTCGCAGTCAAGCATCTACATCGCCTCTACCCTACCTCCACTCACTAAAGCTGGATGCTCACCAGCTTCTCCCAGCTGAACATCTCCGGGAGGACAGGATTGGCATCCACAGAGCAGACCATGTCCACAGAACCCCCGACATTCACCTCAGTCGGGTCTTGGAGAGCACGGATGGTGGGAGCATCTGGTTAGGAGATTGGAGATTGGAGAAGGCTTGGTTCCATGGTGGAAGAGGGCTCCATGTAGGAGAGGGGTCTCAGAGGGGGTCCAGGAAGGTCAGAGATGCGGCTATAGTTTGTTTCCAAGGATGGAACCTTGAAGGAGAGGTCTCAGGGCTTGTGAAATTGTCCCCATCTTGTACTGTGCCTCGGGGATGATTGGGGACTGGTTTCCCCCATGGGGTGTCCCAATTGAGTCTACAATGAGGGGAGTCCTCAATGGGCAAGTTGCCTTGAGTGGGAGCGGCTTCCGTAGTGGGTGTGGCTTTCCGTAGTGGGCGTGGCTTCTCAGGGGGCGTGGTTTTGGTTGGGTGGCTTCCATAAGTGGGTGTGGCTGTCCTGTGGGCATGGCATCTGTAGGGCGTGACTCTCCATATGGGTGTGGCTGAGGGGGTTTCTTCAGGGCGTGGCTTTAAACAGAGGGTGTGGTCTCCTAGGGGGCGTGGCTGGCAGCGATGCTAGTTTCCTATTGGATAAGGATACTCACAGTGCACCTCCAGCCGCACGAACGCCTCCGCGGTGCCCTCCGAGTTCTGGCAGTGCAGCTGGTAGAGGCCGCCGTCCGCGCGGGTCACGTTCCACAGCTGCAGAGCCCCGCCAGCCAGGATGCGATGCCGGGGGCCGCCCGCTGGGGGAAGGTCAGGAGAGGGCCTCTGTTGGGTCCTCGAGTTTGGGGTGGGGGCTGCACCCCTCTCGGGGCTCGCTCTCCCCGCGCACCTGGGCTGAGGCGATAGCCCCGGAAGGTCCAGTTGAAGGCCTCGGGGACGGGGTTAGCGGACACCAGCACGGGCAGCAGTGCCTCGCCCTGCTCCACCGCGGTCACCACCAGCACTTGCTCTCCCAGGAACTCTGGAGGGTCTTCAGAGGGGGCACCCCAAGAATTTAAGACAAGATCCAGGGGTCAGGGGTAGAGTTGAGACTGGATACAGTTTCAAGGGTTAAAGTCAGAATCATGAATTTAAGGGTGTCAGAGCAAAACTCAGGGCCGATAAACTCAGAAGAAGATCCAAGCAAGCAGGGTGCTATTGGCCTGCACCTGTAATCCCAGCTACTCAGGAAACTGAGTTCTGAAGATGGAGTTTCGAAGCCGTCTTGGTGGGAAAGTGTGTGAGACTCTTATCTCCAATTCAACAGCAAAAAGCAGAAAGAGGAAGTGTGGCTCAAGTGGTAGAGCACCAGCCTTGAGCAAAAAAAAAGCTAAGGGACAGTGCCCAGGCCCTGAGTTCAAGCCCCAGGAATGACACACACACACACAAAATGCACACACGCAAGCACAATGGACCCAGGGTCCAGTTTAAGGATGGAGAGAGGGTGTCCAGATAGGGGTCAGGAGTTAGATAGGATAGATGTTTGACTAGATGTAAGAGACAGTGTCCAGATGAAAAATGTAGGGTCCAGAGGGAATCAAAAGGGGTTCCAGGCCCGCACACATACACAGCACATTGAGGCGGTAGAAGGCGCTCATGGTTTCCCGGAGCTCAACGCTGTGGGCACAGCAGGTCACACGGTGGCCATGATCTTGGGATGACACCCTAAGAAAAACGCTCCTGGATGCAGCAGAGCCTTTAAAGGGGGCGCTTTGGGGAGGCGCAGCCACATCCTCCAGCCTGTGTGTAACCCAACAATGAGTTGATCAGGTCACGGTTGGTGTAGAGGTGGGACTGTGGACAGAGACCTGAGAGCTACAAGGGTTGAAATACTACTAGGGCAGGAACAGGATCTGGCCCAAAGCAAGGAGAAACTGATGGCCTGTCACACTCTCACCTCTCTCCTTCTTTGTCCCAAGACAAGTTGACCGGAGGGTTACTGCTAATGCTGACACAAGTTAAATTTACTGCATCTCCTGGGCGCAGAGCCGAGGTGTTGGCCAAGATCGTCAGATTGGTTGGGGGAACTTAGGGAAAGGGTTAGAGAAATGAATACTCAGGGGGGCATCCATATCCCCACCCAGCACCCCAGATCGGTGGTAGCTGCCCTGCCCCACACCCCAACTCCCTGCCTATCAACCCTTCCCAATTGTCCCTGCCCGGTGCATGCTCACATTGCACCACAAGCCTCGTGGATGCGCTGAGCTGACCAGCCTTGCATGAGAACTTGGCCTGGTTGTCCCAGGGGCCTGTGATCAATACCAGCTCACGGGAGAAGGTGCTCCCCGACTTCTCCAGGTTTCCCAGCTGTACTCGCTGTGGTGACTCTTGGGCCTGTCGTGCTTCAGTTACCATCCTCAAGTCCTGAGAACAAAGACTGACTGGATGGTCAAGGGGTTGTCCTGGCCCTAGCCCAACCAATCAGCCCAGAAATGGCCCTGTTGCAGACCAAACAGGGCCTTTGTGGGGAGTGGGCACCTAGCTACAGTGAAGACATGGAGCCTAGAATTAAGCCCCTCCCAAACCAAGTGTGGCTCTGGCTTCCTCTGGTCCCCTGTATCTGCCCCCTGTCCCTCACCCAGTCATCCCTGACTATCCTCTGTCAATCTATAATTTCGATCCATAATTTACCAGACAGCCTGTGCCAGGAAAGCCCTTGAAATTCCCAAGCCTTGTGTAGAATTCTTTCTTCCCA